GGTACGGTTTACAAAATCTGAGCGCACGGATTGGAAATTCGTGGGTACGGTTTGTTAATCCGTGGGCACGATTTGTTAAACCGAGGGAACAGTTTAAGAATTCGTGAGTACGGTTTATAAACTGAGGGGACGGATTGCAAAACCGTCGCCACGGATTGTTTTTTTTTCTCCTACAGGTGACTTCCCGGGCTCCGTAATTTACTGATAAAAAAAGTTGTAATTAAACTTTATTTGGAGTACTACTTGTGCACAATGCACATTTCTTAATATTAAGTCTAAAATATGTTTTAATGTCACTATTGATGAGGATTGTGTGATCTTTAAATAATATCGGTCTTTAAATGCAAAATATTTAAAGGGTAGCTACCTAAAGTATACTTGCAATCGTTCCACTTTAGCACAATCAAATATACTTCAGTATATCTTTAGTTGGACTTCAACACTACTTCCACACAATTAAAGTGCATTTAATACAAAATTAGTTGTTCCAATTTAGCAGACTTTAAATATACCAGTTTAGTATACTAAAAGTACAATTGCAGGGTAGCCTATTTTTATTAAGTACATTATATGTAAATGTGTTTGTAGTATACTTAGCACGAAATAAATGTTTTGTTTTTTTTTATATATTTTAGTATATTTATTTTTCACTAAGGTAGTCGAGAACTAACTGTCTGTTACTCACCACTTTAATAGTTTGTGTTGTTCTTCAAAAGAAGCTTGTTTTCACCAGTCCATCTCAATTTCCTTCTTTACTGACATTTATATACCCTCTTCATTTAGTGAAATGTGCATTCTCAACACTTTTCTTGTTAGTAGTTCAACTAAAATGTGTGGGTAAGTAAAACCATTCAGCTTCCTTCTTCATGCTTCTCTTTTCCTAGAAGTTCAGTGTATAGTAATTGTGCGTTAGCTTAATTAAAAATAGATGCTCATACAGTTCTGCTTACACACAAGTTTCAGAATATGCAAGGTCAATAATTTTAACAAATTTTTATTTTGTACTGTCCTGAATAAGCTTATTCACATAACAGATGTTTACATTTAGTCCTCAGCTCTTAATGCATTGTATTTCCTTTAGGAGCATTATAATGACGGGATGCACCCTTTGTAATAGTTATGTGTGAGCCTCTCAATTGTTCTAAAGTTTTGTAAATGAAACCAAAATAAATGTGCAGGAGCAATAAATTTGCAGGATCCTGGAGGATTTTTCCACTGAAGAACAGTGGACAGGTTACCTGCTCAGGACAAACAAGAGGCTCGTGAACAACTATCATTAAACAAAAAACAGTTGTTGATCATCCATGTAACAAAACAGTATTAAAACTCAAGGGTACACTTTACCGTTAACCATTTAACAGGTTTTTACTGTAGCATTTTTAGTCTTTTACCGTTAAATTCACGGTCATTTTTTACAGTGTATGTTTGAACTTGTTCATTTGTGTTAATTCAGTTCTTATTTTTTTCTTGTGCACTAAATGTAAACTTTTGATATGTGAAACAGCATATTCAGGACAGTACTAAATGAAAAAATAACATGCAATTTTTTATTTTAATTCTTATTTTGTTAAAATTTGTAGCATCTTGCATATTCTGCAAGGGGTATGTAAACCTATGAGGAAAAAAAGTACAGGCTACTGAATCACTCTATGATTCAGTATTGTTTAAACATACAAAATTAGTGTCCTTCAAGACCCGTGCATTCATGAATGATCGTTTTATGCTATAATTGCTGGTTTTAAAGCTCACACCATGCTGAACATTACATACCATTCATTTTCAATTAAACTGTTTCCCATTAATTATCTAGACTCTGGCAACCTGGGTCACAGTAAATACTGTAAACTCCATCTCTGCGTGAGCCGTTGCATTTCAGGAACGCAATTTCTGGTTATGCTTTATTTTCAAATTCGTACAATTGGCAACATTTTTGTGGACAGATGTTTACAGCATTTCACTGGTTTTGTACATTTTACTATTTGTATTCTGACTGCCAAATTAAAATATTTAACAGACCAATAAAATAATGTTAACTGGTTAAAGGTCATTTTAAATAAATGTTTCTGTTCAGAATTATTTTATTTTCATTAATGTTTGTTTTGTTTCCATTTTTTGTTTTTGGTTAAGAGCCCTGCTTCCAAAAAAAAAAAAACAGTTTACTTCCAGATTAAAGGATACTTTATTTACTTTTTCTTTGGAAAACCACTTAGACTTCATTTTAATGAATTCTTGACATACTGTGTATTCTTTACTCTAAATATGCATCAAAACTCTGAAGCCAATATTAAAATTCCATCAAAAATCAATCTTTATTTATATATGTAGTTTAATATATGATATGTCATTTATACATATTTTGATTGTTTCAATTATTAATTACATTTAAACATCTATGAATTAGAGGAATTTGACAAATGGGTATAAAGTTGGGAGTTCTTTAACTGATAACACACTGTTTTTGAAAACTTTGGTAAAGTTTCTCTTTCAGACAATTGCTCAATAGCGCTTTGTTTTGAAAGAGGTTTTTTTCATTGTTTTGTGATTTTCTTTGTTTCTTTGCTGGGTGTTCTGTAGGGCTAAACAACTCAAATGATTCGACTTTATAAAGATTTGCCAACTCTGTCGCTAAATCCTTCACAGTCTTTTCTTTGGGAGGAATGTTCTTATTCTCTCCAATAAATGCTTTTGAGAT